AGGCCGGGCTGAGCCCGAAAGCGTCTCGGAGGCGAGTGAAGCAATCGCACGCCGAGTTAGATTTCTAAATTTTATTATAAAATAAAAGCAGAAATATTTTCCAAAGAATGTATTCACATAATATAAACAATAAACAAAACTAAGGTCGAGTGACTTGCGGTTGATACTGTCGTTTAGGTCTAAGGTTGAGCAGCAATTCCTTATTTTTTTTAAGCCCACTCCTGCCCGCGTTACACGCCGACGGGAGAATCTGCCATTGCCTTCCGCTAGGGCCGGAGTCGGGCCATCATTTCCTTCCCACCCAGCAAATGGCGAAAGCACCACATGGACAAGGCCAAAGAAGCCGTCTCTCTGCATAGCATCAGCTAAAGGAGGTTACAGAGTCTGCCTAGAGCGCGTGTTGCTGCTATAACTTGACTACAACTTTTGTATTCTTAGTTGAACTTGTACATTGTACACCTGCCACGGATACATAACTACAATAGAGTACCGGGAGCGAAGCGTAACTTCCCGAGAGGCGTGTGAACAGCAGCCTTACGCTCCCCTTTTCTCCCCACCCCGAAAAAAAATTACAATGTGCCTCTTCACACGCAGACCGGACCAGTCAAATGAAAATACCAACAAATTCATGAAGTTAAGGCTGGAAAGAGCTGCTACACAGAACCACATTAGAGCCTGACATTAAAATCACAGGTCCTATCCAACAGTCCATACATGCCTGAAAGCAGCTTTAAACAACCCTTAAGGCTTTGTCACAACATTACTGCACGCAGTTGAGTTCAGTACCTTCCAAACCTACAGCCAGCCTGCCTGCCAAAGGGCACAACACAGCCACCAAGGAGTTTGTCATCGCTTACAAAGTCTCTGGTAAGATTAAGGAGGGGAGGGAAACAGAAAGACAGAGAGAGAGAGAGAGACAGAGAGAGAGAGAGTAAAGGAGGGCTGGTGCCAGGGAAGGGAGCGTGTACGCGTTTTTAAGAGCCCAGATCGACCAGGTTGGATGACATGGGGTTGAGGATGGAGTCCTGCAAGCTGTGGTGGTGCATGGGGTCGGCGCTGGGCACGGGGATGGCGCTGGGGCCCGGGGGGTGGCCCAGGCCGTGCAGGGGCTGCAGGCCGGCGTTGGTGCCGAGCAGCAGCGCGGGGCTGGAGGAGGGGGGATCCGGGGTCCCTGACGGCGTCTTCTCG